AGACACACGTACGCCATACCAAGGACTGTTGACAAACTACGAGTTGTCTGTTGATATTCTGGCGCCCTGGCTCCATGAGGTGGTCAAGTAAGCGTGCAAAGACGAAGTAGTTCCTATTGGCTGGGGTTCGGGTATCCGTAGGTCTGTCTTCAAAGGGGGAGATAATACGAAATCCGAGAATTATCGTAGAATAGGTCTCATCGACGTTTCTGCTAAGGTCTTTATTATTGCCCCTTTCAGAAGATGCTAGTCTGTAAAAGACTCTAGAAGAAGGCCCAACCAAGCTGAGTGTGGATGCGTAAACCAGATATTCACTCTCTGGAGTTCTGCCATGGCTTCTTTGTCGAACTGGCTGCCCCCTTCGAGTACGTTCATCGTCCAAGTAGATGGAGCATCGACCAGAATCATTGCGGTGATTAGGGCTTTCTCTTACTCTACCATCCCAAGCGAATTCTGGTCCAAAAAAATCTCCCCAAATCGATATGGGGTCTGGTGTTCGACAGTGTTGCGTCCTGTCACCCATTCTGTTTAATTGTGCCATTGACTGGATTCTCGGAAAAGACCTACACGGTTTTGACGGTGTGGAGTTTTCACCTACGCTGACGATATCGCCCTGCTAGCCTCCAGCTTTGGTAATCTACAGTCTGTAGTATCACGGGTGAATGAAATTGCTGTCGGATGGCTTTTCCGTAAAAACCGGTAAGACCAAATTATCATCCAGCTGCATCCCTGACAAGGAGAAGACACCTCTGGAGATTAATGGTCGCTAATTTGAAAAAGCGGCTTTAAATATCTCGGGACGAGGCTGCTACCGAATGGGCAGGGCAAGGACCACATTGTTTCTTCAATAGATGCTGCTCGCCGGGTTTCCTCTATCCCCCGAAAGCGTTTATGCATCCGAAGCGACAGCTCCATCATCACGCAAATCCGTGTGTGCCGTGCATCCGTCCCTTCAGTGCTCCTCTATGGATGTGAATGCTAGGCTTTGCGCGTGGGAGACGAGCGAAGACTGTGGGTATTTGAGCAGTGTGGCCTGAGGACCATCCTTCGAGTAAAGTAAATTGATTTCTTTTTAAATGAGACAGTCCGCACTCGCTGCGACAGTACCGCGAGGATATCTCTAAAAATCTAAGAA